ATACACATTGTACTAATCATTGCATATTTCTGCAGAGACTATTGTAAAAGCAGTCAAGATTAAGACAGCCAAACAACTCAAGATAAAAGTCTTACAAGCCTCACTGTCAGGTGTAGATGCGACAGTTCTGAAGGCCGTTTCAAAGACAGCTATTTCTGTTGCAAAGTAAAACTCTTTACAATACAGTTTTTTTCCCCTCGTTTGGCCTAGCAAGAAGTGTATTTTTAGAACAGTTTTTGGGTATATGATGCAGCACTCATTTCTAATAATTAGTTTCATCACTAATTATAAATCTTAACAGCTATAATGTGACTTACAAGAATGTAAGTATGTGATTGAGGGATTGGCTAAAAATGGGGGAAACTTAAGCAGTGTTCAAAGGTGAATGATCAGGCTCCAATGAGATTGTTTCTTCATTAGAGAATTTGTCTTATTTTCACTGAAGATCGTGCAATAAATTCCATTATCATGCTTCTTGTGTCACTGTCAACACAGAAAAGAATTGAAATACTATATTTAAAAAGCCAGGTGGTCCTGAGGACTGGAATAACAGATAATGGGATGAAGTTTATTTGCATAAAACCTCAAGATCATACTACTAGGATGTAACGGAATTTTTTCTATTAGTTGAAAGTTCATCAATTTGAAAAGACTGAGGGAAAAGAAGTATCAAGATGATTACGAGTCATGAACCCCTCTAAAAAGAGGCAAATACCACCTTATGAAGTTGCACAATGAAACAGGCTTTTCTTGCCACAGCCATGATAAAGGTAACTCCTGCAGGAGCCCAAGGCCCTCGTCCTGAAAGCGACTCCACTCACCAGGAATTCACAGTTCAGTGAGAACCCAAATGCTAAACAACAAAGCCACAAATTAAATACATTTAGTATGCAACTTTGCTGGCTTCACCTCCTCCCTAACATGAACTTATCTCCCATAGCTTACTTCATCATTCCAAAAAGCAGATTTTAGAGACGTTTCAGTCAAGATGCTATGGGAAAATATTAATCTATCAAAGGACATTTTCTCATGCTCTTCCCATCGTAATTTCTTCAACCTGAGATCTGAGCTAGGAAAGGTTAAGCTGCAAACAGTTTTTTTTAGCATAAAGAAGTCATGACTTTAGAGAAAAATGTATTGCATTTGCTCAAAGTCAAAAAGTGGAATTTGTAATGAAGCTCATTGCTAGTATTCATGCTTTTTTGAGCCTCAAGTAGCACAGGACGTGTTAGTGCTATAAGACTCTGTTCAGAGGCTACTGAAAAAACAGCACAATCTTCCATCACCTTCATTAAGTCTGGAGCAGATCTACGGCATATTGCTGTTTAAAAGTTTTATCAGTGTAAGTTGAGATTTCTCTGGTTACTCAGGAGGTTGGTGGGCTCTGTTCCTCTTGCTAGGTGTTTGCAAAGGATGCAGCACAATGGTCTAAAAGTAGGTTCCTCTTCGCTAGAATAGTAACAATAATGGGAAGGTTCAGAGGGCCCAGTGCAATGCCCTAATGACTCAGTGACTCGTCAATGTTAGAAAATACCTCAGGCACAATGGTGCTAATGGTGACTGTAGGGTGGCTCCACTCTATGCCTAGAGATCACACACCCTTCCCGAGCCGGCATGATGCACAAAGATTGGATCTGAGGATCTGGTGTTCTGCAAAAACCCCAGAAAATATGACATAACCTAACATGGTCTCTTCTTTCCAAACTATACCAACTGCATATTCAGCGAACAACAAGAAAGGATCACAACCACAACAGACTACCACTGCAGAAGGCAGTCAGAGCCAAATTATACCTCTGCATGCTAGGCAAAGAGGGTGATTTGATTTTGAGTGAAAACAGGAATAGCACACACAGGAAGACTCAGTGGCCAGACCTCAGCTATTAACTTCCAAGCATTTTACTTTTTTTCTTTGGAAATACAAAATTTTTATTAATAAAGTGTAATTTGAAGAGGGGAAACACATACCGAGAAAATAACTGGATTCCTTACCTTCAGCTTTAAGTCAACGTTACCAAATTTCTTGAGTGTATATGGCATGCCTATTTATACAACATGACACAGGTATGAGGATTTCTTGCCTCGGTGGAAGGAAGGGTTCTTTAATACCTGCCTCCCAGTGCCAACAAGCAGAACTATGCCTTCAAATTATGGGCCGAGAAAGCGTGAGCTGGAGATCAGGAGGGAGCTTTACAAGGAAAGTTGCCAGCAACTGGTGAAAGTTCAGGGATTCCACAGTAGGGCCCTAACACACCAGTGTACAAACAGTCCCAGAAAAGGATAATCAAGAAAAGAACGCCAGGAGATTTTAAGATGAGACTTTTCCAGGTGACTTGTTACTACACAGCCTATGTCTTGACTCTGAATCAGATTTACATGGTACTTCTGTACAGAATTCTGTTGACACCATTTGCCCTGTGCAGACTGAAGGTCAGAAGATACATATGATTAGTATTTAAAGACTTTTAAAAAAGTGTGACTACTGAATTCAAAGATCTTTGTAGAATCTTTTTATCATTCAACAGAAGAAAAAACAAATGCCGTTCTGTAGTAATGTCCTTTACAGGCCTGGAATTCTAATTTCTTCTAAAGTGAAATGATATACGTACTTTACTACAATTTCAGCTACTGGAATATAACGACTGCTTTTCTTAGAATCATAGAATCATAGAATCATTAAGGTTGGAAGAGACCTCCAAGATCATCGAGTCCAACCGTCAACCCAACACCACCATGCCCACTAAACCATGTCCCTAAGCGCCTCATCTACCCGTCTTTTAAATACTTCCAGGGATGGTGACTCAACCACTTCCCTGGGCAGCCTGTTCCAATGTTTAACTACTCTTTCAGTAAAGAAATTTTTCCTCACGTCCAATCTAAACCTCCCCTGGCGCAACTTGAGGCCATTTCCTCTCGTCCTTTCGCCAGTTACTTGTACAGAGATAGCAATAGATACTAAGATGGGTATTCTTACTGTTTTTAGCAGAAGGCTAACCTTTTTATGCATTCGCTGCTATGAAAGACAATCTTCCAGCAAATGTAGTCAATAAACGTGTTAAAGCTGAAGTGATTATAGCTACAGTGACTGTAAAATGTGATTTTTACTTGCAGTCTTTCATACTCCCTTCACTGATCTCAGATATGAAAAGATTTGTTTAAATCAATGCAAATGAGATTTAGACTAGTATCAGCCTACTTGTTAGTATTTTGAACTGCTAATCTGAAATATGGACACTACACACCAAGCTACTAGTTTAACCATGCCATTTAAATTACGCCCTTAGTTAAATAAGTAATTTTTTTGGCACAGATTCCGATAATAAATTATTATTATTTTCAGAGAGAAAATTCCATCTTCCTTTGGGAACATTTATGTAGAAATTGCACTTGATCAACTGTAAAAGCATAGGTAAATTCATCACATAGTAATACATTCCCTTAAACTCTGGTTCATATGAAGAGTGATCAGTTAATAAAACACAGTCTAAACAGCATGCAGAAAGTGCCAATAGATTGTCCTGTTCCTATGCCATTCGACTACTCTATGCACATGTAAACTGGGCCACTTTCTTTATGTTTGTATTGTATAGGAAAAGAAAATTCATGTAATTTGCTTTATGCAGCATTTACGTGGAAAAAATTAAAGGATTTGAAAAAAAATAGGACTTGATAGAAAACAAACATGAGTTCTATAAAATGGGTAAAAAAGCTCATGATACTTAATTGACTTAGAAGCTTGATTTTCAAAAATTATTTAGGCTTTCAAAAGACCAGTGTCACAAGCGTTATCAGGATTTAAATTCATACAATCTAGTGTTCTGGACTTATTTTACCACATATCGTTTCCCTGTGTTTCATAAAGAAATACTTTTTAAAGTCTGGATTACGTTGTTGTTTTAGTGCTGAAAACTGACATCCGATAAGCTTATTTCAATTCCAGAATCTTTCTGGATTAAGCAAATGTCAAGTCTGCACCACATAGAACATACAAATCCAGTCTGAGGCTTAATTTAAGTCAACTGCATAGGTTTTTACTGAAATACCAGAAAAGAGAAACTACTACTCATCCCACATCCACTTACACGAAGTCCAAGAAAACTTGAAAATCACAAATTATTTAGAAATATATTTTTTATTATCTTTCAAAGGATAGAGTAAATAGAAAATTCTCCAAGATCAGAACTGAAGACTGCCATATATATTATTTCTATAAATATGTGTGAAAGGAAATATGGCAGATCTTAGTAAGCTTTTTCCATACAGATGATAATGCCGAAATGTCTTTTAAATCTTATGTTCCATTTTAAAAAAAAAAAAAAAGGCATCCTTTACCTTGAAGCACAGGAGAAGTCACACCAGTAGTAGTACCTCAATACTAATCTTCTACTACATTTCACATCTGATACATTACTTCAGTGTACTGGGTGTTTTTTTTTCAAATTGTAAAATTGAGCCAAGCCATTTTCAGTTGTTTTAAATAAAAGCCATCAGGTGCTAAGTGACTTATACAGAATTGATATTACTAAATACTAGTGGAAGAAAGAAAGTATCTATTCAATAAGACATAAGATTTGAAGTTTGCAAAACAAGGTCTGGTACCACTATCACTTCTTTCAGTCGGTAGCATCCAATTCTTGCAGGAACCTGACTAGTTACTTTTTAGCATACTTGCTTAAACTAAACATTAGCTGACAATGCCAATGTAAGAAAATGCCAGACATTAATTTCACCTAACTTTAGCTTTTTGAAAACTGGGATCCTAATCTGCATCTTGAGTTACAGGAGAAAGGGGAGGCACTTCTAAAGATTGTTTCATCCCACGTGTGAATCATGATGCCCCTCTTTTTGCATTGGCTCTATAGGGTACCCCAAAGATTAAGGTCCCTATTTTTTGACCAGCTAAAGTTATGAGAGGTGAATCTTTCTCTGAATGCTAGCCATTCTGAAACAGTGAAAGTATCAAAATTGTCCCAACTGGTCTACTTTTTAGCTACTTTTACCTTGCCTTTTCAGTGACTCCCATTTGTTGATGAACATCAATAAATTCCATGAGTTGCCTTTGTAGCACGTTTTCTTTTCCTTCAATTTGCTTAATAAAATCATGCTGCAAAAGACTAGACACTGTTGGACGCTTCTCATAATCTTTAGTCAAGCACCTGTGCTGGCAGAAAAAGCATATGATTGTTGAGGGATTGCTGTTAAATTTTGAAATGCTTGTCTGTAGTTCATTCATACCTCCATAATAAATACACCCATCTTAATCACAACAGCTCTGTACTGAAAACTGCAAGATTTCGCAGAATGGATGAGGCCAAGAAGTTAAATTACTGCATTTAAAACCTAAATATTCTCTAAATTAAGAAAAACAGAAATATCAAAGGTGTTAAAATGTTGTTATTTCATGTTTTAAATCTGGAGCCTCACTTTGAAGTCAAACTGGATTTACAAACTAGGTTTTAAGGAAAAATATTAGTAGCAACAGATTTCCACAGAGAATACAAAGATATTTCACACATGACATTTACACATGTTCCATGCTCAGCTACAGTGGTCTCAGTTGTTACTCACTTCTTAATGAAGTCATTGAATTCAGGTGACCACAGTTCAGGCTGCTGTAGTGTTGGAGGAGGATTCCTGCAAAGGTCAGTGTGATGATAAGTTAATAAGCTTGACAAAAACAATGTGTGAAGGCAGGCTGAGTAATGAGTTTTAGAAGGCCACTGAAAGAAGATATTGATTTCCACTGGTAAAAGGAGCATGGGTAGATGATACAATGCCTCACTGGTTCTCCTACTTTACATAACTAACAAGGAGAAATAGCATGGAGATGATCTACCAAGCGTAGCTAAGAATCACTGTAATTTTTTCAATCAAATCAATAAACGGAAATGAAACTAACAACCCATTAATCACTATTCCCTTGTAATGGCAAGTTTCTCGTTTCAAGCCTGAAACAATGTACTTTCTTAAGAGTATTTTTTAAAAGAAATCCTATTTTAAGTTTTCCCAGAAGGACTGAATTAATCAACTTGCTGAGCAAAGTGTCAGAAGGAACTAGCTCTTTATTAACTACTTCTCATTCATCAGAAGATAATCAGAAGTCAAGTGAAGGACTAAATACAGACCTAGTGTAAATTCTTTTTTTCTTTCTTTTCTGTTGAGTTAGATCTGTTTATTCTAGGTGTTAATTTGGTTCAAATTGTTTTAACAGTCGTCTTCTGTTCAAACAGAGGTGCCGTTTTCACTGAATGTAGTCACGAAGACAAAAGGAGTCACCTATAGATGAGGTGCCTCTTTGTCTATTTTTGATTAATCATCATAACTGCTTTTGTTTAAGTGCTGCTTAATGTTTACCACTTTCAGGTTTCACTTAGTGAAATGAAAGGATATCGATCTTATATTTGCCCCAGGGCAGAAAGGGTAGGTGCCCAATATTTGTAAGGCTATAAGCCAGATTTTTTTTTGAAGGCCTAGCTGAAATTACTGACTACAGCAGTTTGCAACTGCTTTCCCCATACCAAGTAAAGGTGAGAAGAGCATTCATGCTTTCCTTCAGTGCCAAGTCAGCCAAAATTTCTTAAACCTGAAGGTAATTTAATCTAATTTGGGTGACTTGGCTGAAAAGGACTTGAAGCACTCAGGTATACTATATGGTCTCAACTGTTGTGGTACTACTTCATCTGTTAGAGTGAAATCCACAAACTGCTGTATGATCATCCCCTACAGACTTTGAGATTGATGTTCTTTGAAACGCTGTAAGTGGCACTTTGGGTACTTTTATCTCCAGCTTCAAAGAAAACGTGAAAGAAGTTGCTATTTGCACTGCCTGAGGACAGCAGCACTGGAACTGCCAGGACCAGCACAAGCTAATGAAAGGTGGCAGCCTAAATGTATGTGAGTGGTGGACCAACACTTTGCTTCAAAGGACATGGGATAACTCTTGAGGACAGGTGTGGGGCCTGTTCACCACAGTGGCATACTCAGACTCTGTATTTCTATCATAAGTCATTCTCTGTAACAGAATATACGGGACTCAGCTGAGTCCTGCGCTCATGTATATTGGGCAGCAGTCCACTCAGGAGAAGGCCTTACGGCTTTTTCTCAAATGTAGCCATGATCAGCTCTGAACTTCTCAATGTGCGCACATGGCTGAAGCAGAGCAGGCAGAAAATACAGCTGGACAATTTCTAACCTCCTCTTAGTACAAATAATATGAAGAAACTGCACATACTTAAACAGTCTAAGTTTGAAGAGAGTAACAGTTAAGGAAAAAGTTGTCTAACCTGGCAAGAAATAAACACATCAAGATATTACCTTGGTATTTTGAAGAGTGCCCTCATAGGGTGCAAATCAGCAAGGGGTGGATCTCCATCTCCCAACTCTATTGCAGTAATACCCAGTGACCATGCATCACATCTGGCATCATAGGAGCTATCTAGCTGCTGCTCACAGGCAATCACCTGTTGGAGTAAAAGACTGGGATGGTCACTGGATGGTCAAACGTCCGAATTTAAGAGTACATCCACAGCTGGGGCAATCTCTTACAGGATGGGGATACTGGGTGAAATAAACAGACTTGCACACATTCAGCAAGCTAAAGCATCCTGTTGCTGAAAATAGGCAATGCTTAAACTAGAGAAAGCAGGTCTCTGTGAACACCAGGTTCTTTCACCAGATGTTCCCTGGTCTGACAAAAGAGTGCAAATCCTTTGCTTTTTCAGCTGAAGGTGGTAAACTGCATCCCATGGCTGAGGGAAGTAGAAGGAAACTCAACAACCCTAAATCTCTTTTCTATGGATTATTCCTGCAAAATAACTAATGGAGCTATACTGCTCTCTCTATGAAGTGAAACAAGCCGGAAAGCAGAAGTTGAATTCACTGTCTCCTACTGGGTCCTCATTCAGCCAAATCAGCCAATTTCAAGATCAAGATAATTTCTCGACAATGTGTTTGCCACTGGTTTACAGCAAGTGTATTTAATTTCATATGCATTTCAGCTCATCCACAATGCCGGATGAATCTAGAATTTTTCATCCCATTAGCTACAGGTCTAAACCAATGTGTATCCCGTTAGCTACATGGCTAGACCAATGTGTATAAACAGAGTATGTTTATAAAAATATGTGTGTATAAACAGAGTAGTTTCATGTACTATAAATAGATGTATATGCATGTGTTTCTGTGCATACAAATAGTGTAAGTACATAGGCTTATTTATAACAAAATATTTTTCCTGCCTCAGCTTAAAATGTATCTTTATATGCTTCAATTTCAGGCTGGAAAAATCTCCAAAGATACATAGTACATCTTATTTATTCATAATAACCTCTTCCATTTCTTGCTGTCAGCTATTGATATATAGTATTAAAAACTTTCCAGGTGTAGAAATCAAAAAATAAAAGCTATAATGTATCACAGTACCACCCTGGGCTCCTTCCATCCATGGGGAGATGAGACAGCTATAGTTTCAGAGCTTGGAAGGCTGGAAAGGATCAATGGTAGTACTCTCTCCTCTTTAACATTTTAGTAAGCAATTCAACATCTTGATCTCTGGCTCTAACCTTGTCGTTTCAAAAATAAACCCCATTGTAACTTAATCCTTGCAAACATGTAAGAAAAAAGGTCTAAAACACTTTTTTGAAGGACATTGCTATTTCATGTGGTGAAAGGTCCAGTGGTCAGGAAGAAAGTCAAAGAAAGAACAGAAATGCAGAATGTGGCAGCTCAAATACCAGTGACAAAACGTTTTGAAACATGAATCTAACCTCTGGAGCCATCCAGAACGGGGTGCCCACGGAGGTGTTCCGACGGAGACGAGTGCTGGTCAGCTGAGCAGACACCCCTGGAAGAACGAAGGGAAGCTATAATCAGAGCAACTGCTATTTCCATCCAAGACAGCTCTTCTGAATGGTGCCATCCTTGTCTTGTCATGCTATGACTTCCTCTGCAGGCGAATCTTAAATATATCTTTCCAGCTCTCTGGAAGGAGAGGCCCAGTCCTCAAAGGTACTCAGCATTTCAGCTGAGGTTCTCCGCATCCTTTGTTTCGAGTGACTTCAGTAGGATCGGGATTTAGTCCCAAATGAGCATTTCATTAGTAATCTGACTCTATATATTTTGACTGGCTAATTACAGTTTTTCTATATCCTATTTTAGGAGAGCAGTAAAGCACCTTAGGTAGGGAGGAAAAAAAAAAAGTACTATACTTTCCACAGATTCTTTTTTTCTTTTAATGCTCAGTACTGACACTAGACCTCTGTTTCATTATTTATATATTTTAGGTTGAACACTAGAAAAGATACTTATCCTCATCTCTTAGCTGCTCTGCCATAAAAAAGAAACAACGAAACAGTGAAACCTCAAAAATTCTTACAAAACCAGAAGTGTCTCCATGCTCAAAGCACATTCTCAAAGCAACATCAAATGCCTGCAAATCAGCTTTGTAACACGAGCTGTAGTTTAAGGAATTAACTATTTCAGGCCAAGAGCTGGAAAGTGAACTCTGAATTCTAAAGATTCCTTACGTTTTTAAATTAAAGGACACTGAAATATTAGGAATTCAAGTGGGCTGCAGCACAATTCTGACCAGCCTGCCACCTATTTCCTTCCTTACAAAACAAGGGTGTATTGGTTGGAAATATCTCTAGTGTGTGCAAAGGGGAGAGTACAACACATGGAGAAAAACAGCCCCTCAGCTAGCATGTCCTGAACTATTATGGATTTACGAGTCACAATCAACTGTGAGGGCCACTCGTGGAGAAAAACAGCCCCTCTGCTAGCAAGTCCCGAACTACTATGGATTTATGAGTCATAGCCACTGTGAGGTTCACCGGAGGCATATTCTGAAGTGCTGATATCATGGATGGCAAGAAAGCTGCTGTGTTCTACTCTTGTAGACCTTATCTTTGTGAAAACCCTGCAGATGGTTCGTAACAGGAGCAATTCACGTTAACTGCCCAGTGGAAATACTAACTAAACCTCTATCTAGATAGAATTTGATTGTTTTGGGTTTTTTCACTGGTGGTCAAGAAACCATAGAGGGCTTGATCTGTTTTTTCACTCTAAAGCTATGTGTTCAGCTCTGATTCACAAAATATCTGCATTTGTCCATCACGGAAATGTATATAACTGCTGAAAATAAGGCAGCAAGAAAGATCCCGCCTGTTCCTTTGAGACAAACACAACCATTGCTTTTGTGGCTGTCTCCCTCTAGCCTACTCCAGGATTGAGAAAGTTGCATCTCTCTCTCTCTCTCCGTGCCTGCAGAAAGTCTAATACACAGTGTTTGCACCACGGAATGCAGGACAATGTGAGTCTTAGCACAAAGTCCACCAAGCCTGCTTTGGCTCAGCTAAGCAGGGGCTTTGTTTCTGCTACCTCAAGGAGCTGGCTGAGGTCCAGCTTCCGGCTCACGGCGCCTGTGGCTGTTCCGAGCCCTCAGCAAAACACGTCATTCAGAAAGCAAGGAATAAGCACACATCACCACGGGCCTGTCACTGTTGTAGTGATGCAAATGGACATCATTACGTGATCCTCGGTTTTGGAGGGAGAGGAGGCTACTCTCGCCTCTCCCTTTCTACGTGTTGTGGGAGTCCCCTTTGCTAAGCTCTTTTTTGTAGTCTTGGAAGAGGAACCAGGATTCAGATCTGCAGGCAAAGGAAGGCACTAACTGAATTTTTATTAATCCAGTGTCAGATTTTGTAAATAATCGTAACTTTCTGTGGAGATTATAAAGGAACATTAATGTGCACAGTCTTCTGTGTCTATGCACTGGTTTTTGCTTCTCTTTGAACTGTAATTATTAAATAAACTGAGGGATTTTTTCCTCCTCCCCCTTTTTTTACTTGAGTAAAAAGCTGATTTAATTTGAATTGTTCACCACTACTTTCTTTAGGCTCTCGGTTTTTTTGTGTGCTTTTTGTTTGTTTCTTTTTTATCCTTTTGCTCTTAGCAGTAAAGTGGCATTTCAGATTATGGAGCGTAGGTCTTATAACAAATGGTATTTCCTTGGGCTTTTTCTGTGTATAGAGGAAAGATGATGTAATTCCACACTTAGTAACATTTCTTCCAGCATTTCAGTAACCAGTCAAGCATATAGCTGACCAGCTTTTTTTAACTTGTATATTTTCTAACAAAAACATCTTGCTCCTCCCCCTTCCCCTTTACTACTGCTTGCTGCAACGAGTCAAATATTCTCCTAAAAAAACCTAAAAATATGTCATAAAATGGTGTTTTACTACATACAAATTGTAAGTATTATGAAAGTGAAGAGCTTAATGCATAAGTGCATTAGTAGTACCAGTGCACACCATACCCAAAAGAAAATATTGTGCATATAGTTGGAAAAATGCTTTTTTTTCTTCCCCTTATTTCAGGCATTAGTTTACTAATAAAAAATGGAAATTGGCAGACTTACACCATGAGTATTATTCAAGCTTTTCATTGCAAAAACTGGCATATTGGAATAACATCAAAAGTAAAGCCACCTACTTATGACCTTAGCACTCAATAAAAGAAAAACAGTGCAGAAATGAGCTCCCTATTATTAGGAAAGACTTGTCTCATAGTAGCACCCAATCTGAGCAGACACTGTTCTGATCTAAATCGGGAGGCTGTACAACATCGTTTTATGATTATGTCCTGTGACAGAAGTATGCACATTTTACTGGTTGATGCTAATGGGGGAATGGTGAGCCCTAGCAAATTCTACTAAAATCACATTTGGCACACAGCAGGGAGACTACATTCCCAACATGCTAGCCACTGTATTCATACATAAAAACACAGACCCGACCCCAAAGGGCTTACACTCTAGCTGTCACACTGCCTCTGGCTACCTCTTCCATAACCCTTCTTCATTTGTGCCTTCAGTGTCCACTTCCCTACCAAAGCATCCTCTTTGTGACCTTCTTTTGATTAAGAACCTGCAACTCGATCATTCCTCAAGCTAGTCTCTGGGCCAAAAACTGCTCACGCTGTTAACCTTGCAGATCTAAACAGGCTGCAACACTTTGAATTATTTCCTAACATTGTTTTAATCTCCTAGAGAAACAGATGTAAAACAGCAGCAGCATCTTACACTACATTCCCCTT